GATCGTAATTTGTTTAATATTTAATTTATATTAATCAATGTGTGTGTCATTTTTAAACAAATGTACTATTGTTTATATATTACTTAATTATATTTCACGTATGTTATATTTTATTTAAAGGATTTGAACATTTAATTAATAACAGTGAAAACATAAGACGACCAATAATTAGACATGAAAAAAATCAAGATTTATATTAACGTCTTCTGTACATTATTTTTTTAATTGTTTTAATAAATTTGTTATAAATGAAGCTTTTTCAATTGAAACTCGTTAAATATGTAATTAAGTTATACTAATAATGTATTCATTTTTAAATTTTCGTCATCTTAAGTACACTAGGATCAATCATTTTCAAGGAAAAATCTAGTAAACGTTAACGTTGTACGATTTTAAAGGGACACTCATTGTATATTTAAATTAAATACTTTTTTTCTAAGTATAATCTTTTAAAAGGACGTTGACTGAAAGATTTATCATAAAAAGTGGAGAAACACTATATTAATGTTACGATCGATTAGTTCAAATTCGTATCGTTAAACTATTTAACGTTTTAAGAATATGTCAAATCTTTAACGGAACATCGTGTATCAATTATATATATCTTTGTTCATTGAATCGTATGGATTATGAAAATTTGACATTTATAACTTCCTTATGATCGTTCGTTATATTTTCGAAACGATCAGAAAGAAATGAAAAAAAGAATATATTTTAAAAAAAGAATAGAACAAAAATAATCCAACCATATATACCAGTCGAGTAACGTAAAATTCATGATTTTACTTTCATTATTAGAAAAAGAATATCGAACGCGGGATACCGTTTATCCATTTCTACTTTTTTTTCTCGTTAAAATAACCGTTCGAGGAAGTGTTATCAATTACGAATCTTATTCGATTCGATGATAATCATTTTTTAACGATGCAAAATGAAAAAAGCAACGAGCGCATAATTCGAATTACAGTGTAAAAATTGATAGTTACGATGGAGGTAAAGAGAAAAGTTTCGTATTAATTCGAATAAATTAGACAAAGGTGCGCAAATTAAATACGAGTCAATTAAATTAATGATTTAACTTGCGTACGGTTTTTTATTAATAATGATAATCCTAGGGATCGCGGGGTAGAGATACGCGTGTCGATTAAAGAAGAGAGATTGAGAAGCTTGAAACGTTGCTTTGGGTTCAAGAGAGATCGATAAATCTCGACTGTCTATTTGGTAATCGTTAATTTCGTTAGCACGGTCTTGCTTCCTTCTTGTTATGTGTTGTCACTATGGTGTTATACGATCGATCCGTATGGCTATGGCAACATTTCGAATAATGTTTCTGCTGCGTTTTCACGCTCTTCCTTCCCTTTCCCTTCCCTACCCTTTCCTTTTCCTTTAGTTTAGTCGAATTATATTTGTAGTCGTTAAATCGTTCGAGAAACAAACCCGAATTTGATTTGTTTTCTTTGGGTGACGTTTTCGAGTCTCTGTTCAATTCGTGTATCGATAGTCACAATTGATTATCACAGACTTCGTTGATATTTAATACAACTATTAAGAGAGTTAAGATTAATCGAATTTTATTAAGAACGTAGAAAATGTTATTTCTGGATATAATATCGAGGGGAGAAATATAACGCGAGCCACGGGTACAACGATCCTGCCATATTTCGATCCAATTTCTGTTAATATCGTGTCAATCACAAATAATTGTATTATTTGATAATCCTTATATCGTTTTCTTCCTATCTACCTTTCTATCTAAGACTAACGCAACACTGTGTGTGTGTGTGTGGTGAATATATAAATTAATATTATAATTAATTAATGTGTCCATTTATTTCCGAATATTCTGTCTCTCTCTCTCTCTCTTTATATATATATATATCTATTTCTAACGTAATTGAAATAAATTAAACCCTCTACATATTATAAAATTATCGTTTCGATCGAAACGAAATTTAATCTTTCTCTCTGGATAATTTTCATTTTCATTAATATTCGTTAAAATAGAAATAAATAAGATGTATTGTTGTCCGATATCGATGATCAGTGAAAATTTTCTTATCGAGACAAGAAAATGTATGAACATTCCAAAAAACAAACAAATAGAAGTCATGAAACCGCGTACAAAATGTGAAATATAATAGAAAATTTGTTTGTTGACAAAAAAAACATTGACTGCAAACGAAATTCTCAATGATTATTCTGTTTTAAACGCGAAACCTATTTCTATTAACTACGAAGAAATACGTCATCCTTCCGAAAAAGAGAGATATGCGGAACGGAAGACAGATGCGATTTTTACGAGCGGAAACGTGGGTTGTAGATTGGTCCATCTAACAACCGGAAACGAAACGCAATGATATTGTGTGTTAATCAATAAATTCCGTAATATTTTTGAAGTTGAATAATAACGTATAGATATCAAAGATTTTCGAGTGAATTTATAATAACAATCGTTTAAATATCATGACAATTATCTGTCATGTAAAATACACGAACGAATATTTCGTCATTAATATTTCTAATAATCGAAAAATTCAATAAACAATATATTAGGATTTCAAATGAATATTTCACTTCGATATAAAATAATTTTATTGAATTCAAAACAAAATTGTATTATCTGAAACAACACAATAAACGTACGAACTTTTGTTTCAACCCCCTAATATATTTTATATAATAATCATAATATAATTTTATTCGAATAAATTTGTTTCTGATAATTATTCGATCGTAAAAATAATAAGAAAGTAGTTTACATCGAAATGTTTTATTTCTAATAATATGAAAAATCTTACCTTCTGGTCCTGCTGCTGGAGCAGTTGTTCCCTGAGGAGTTGCAGCTGCAGGATCATTTCGGAGAGCCTGCGTTCTTTCTCAACGATGCTCTCGGCGCAGAGGACCCTATGAAGGGCCGCTGCACCGTCCTGTTGAACCTGTCCTTCCGTGTTTTGTATCCTGCTTGTAGCTGGGGGCGAAGGAGGCACGTTGTTCGCCACGTTACCGGCGTTTCCGCTATAAACATTAGACAAAATGCCATTAAAAGGAATAGAAAAGTGATCTATTTCATTCTTTTTTTTTTATCTATTTAACTCGTATTGTTACATCGATTATCCTACATTTCTATTGACAACCCATTTCAAATATATTTTTCAATATGATTTTCATATTTTTAAGATTAATTTTTATACTTGCATTTTTTTCAACTTATCTTACAAACAAACATATTTTTTGATATATATTTGATATAAAAGAAAATTAATAATAACAACACAATATTTATTCCCGTTTAAATGAAATCTATATTATATGTATATATATTTACGAATATAAGAATGTAATTAATATTCAATAATGATCAACACGATATTTAACTTCTTTAATTTGTAAGAATAGACAAAGTTAATAACACTTTAACTATAACTATTCAATAACAATATAATTAATATAATAGTACAATATATGGCGGTGATGCATAATGATTCGTTGCTGTTACGCTTATTCGATGTTACTCTTACGACTTTTCGTAATATACTGTTCTTAGATCCAGCTGGCATACTTGTTCTTCCGTCATTTCTTTGTTACATTATACTTTTACGTATCTAAGGGATACAATTTAGGGACTATTTTATCTTAAAAATAAACAAGGATAAGGATTTTACGATTTTTAGATCTATCGATAATTAATAATAAAACCAGGTACCCTTGTGGACCCTTAGCAATAAAAAAAAAGTTTACTTTGCCTTTCCAAGTATCCTATTTATATATATATATATAAATGAAAAAAAAACAAAAGATAACAAATATCTAATCAAATAAACAATCGAAAATATTGAAATATCGTAAACGAATAGATATCTGTAAGCATTTTTATTGAAAAAAGAAAAAAAAACTAGAAAAAAAACACCCACACACGTATACATACGATACATACACAAAAAGAAATGATGTTTGAAACGACGAGAAGGTCCAAGTTAACAAGGACGTGAGTGCTTTGTGAAAAAAATAAAAAAGAATAAAAAAAAAAAAGAAAGAAAAAAAGGGCGAGCTGGCAGCTTTTCGAAGACCGAACGAAAAGTCCGGAATGGTAGATGCAAAAGCTCAGCAACGGTGTAGAAACAAACCCCGAAAGAAGACAGTAGTGTAGTTGGCACGTAATGGCACTAGCTAGCTAGCTAGCTAGCTAGGATGAGGATGAAGAGATGGAGAGGAGAGGAGAGGAGAGGAGAGGAGAGAGAGAAAGGTAGAAGAGGAAGAGGTTGGGAGTCAGGTGAATAATAGATAGGGTCGCGGCCACGCAATCACGGTGAAGCGAGTGTTTGCACCCGTGATGGGCCCTCCCCGGAGCACACTACGTCCCTCAACCCTCGATTCTCAATCCTCGAGAGTTTCCTCTCTCCGCACACCCCTCCAGTCTCTTCCTGCTTCTTTTATGTCAGGGAAAATGGACCACGAATAAGTGATACCCTGCCGGTATTGTGGTACTGCCGAGAGAGAGAGCATCGTTGGACTCTCTTTCTCTCTCTTTCTTTCTCCCTTTTTTTTCTATATGTCTTTCTCTTTCTCTCTTTTTCTCTCTCTCTTTGGAATCACTCTCAGCTGGACAACGAGGGCTAACCCTAAGACATCTCTCTTCTCATTCAACGCATCGAGGACAACGCTAAGATTTCCCCACTGAAGTAAGAAAGAATCGTAAAACGTCGGGAAGAGAGACACCGTCCTTCGTAATCTAGGTCGACGCATGTCCAAGGCGTTGAAGTCTCGGATACTGCAATATAAAGAAGATTCTTATTTCCTTTCCTCTCTTTTTTACTTTCTTTCTTTCTTTCTTGCTTTCTTGCTTTCTTTCTTGCTTTTTCTCTTTTATCTTTCTTTTGACTTTTTCATTACTCCCATTTCATCGAGTAATCACTCTCTACATACGATTCATATCCAATTTTACGTATCTATATTTAATATCGTGATTATATTTTGTATATGAATATTGTTTTATTGGATGAAGCTTTGAGAATCAGAATTAAGCTTATAGACTGTGATTTTGAGAATAAACGTTTTAATAACGTAATTGTAGATATATTTTTGTCGTAATTTGTTTTAAATCAGTGTTCTTTTTGTTCTTTTCTTTTTTTTTTTGAAAGTGGATAATAGAATTTTTAACTCTTCGTAGGGGTTCTTCACAAACAGATTTGAATATATTTTAGGGAGAAAATGAGAAAATATGGGATAGTCCATTCTGTTTTTCGATGCCTCGAATGTGTAAATTGATATATATGTTACCATGAAAGATCGAAATTGGATAATGTCAAGATTCACATGGTAGCTTGGTATTTGTCCGATATATATTAATATAAAATATTCGGTATTTCACTGATGTATTTGTAATATGTTAACGACAAAGGGACCATGAAAAATCTCGACATTTTCCAATTTCAATCTTTCACTGTTACACATGTAAGATTTTCACATACGATAGTAATTAATTTTCCAACAAGCGTGACAAGTTCTTATATTAATTATTCTCTTCTTTTCTTTTCTTTTTTTTGTTTGTCTTCTCGAAAGAATAAAATACTTTATATATTATTACATTGAGGGTTGTGTGGGGCGTGCTCGCAAGGTAGAAGGAAAGAACGTTGTTGGGTTCTTTCAGAACTGTTGGAAGCAGAAGCTACGTTCGGCTTGTAATTAGCGAAGAAGGCTTCTTATCCGCGCTCGTCCATGAAAGGCTCCGGCTGTGCATGGTTTTCTTTGGACCGATAATATCGCCGCTTGGAGAAGAGAGAGAAAGAGAGAAAGATAGAGAGAGAAAGAGAGGGATCATGGTTTCTATTCGCGCCCAGTGACCCCGCTTCTCCTGTTGGCCTTCCGCCACCCCCTGCGCTACTATTCCCGACAAAAGCCTCATTCTGTTATTATTATTACGCGCTAAGAGATTCGAAGGGCTTTATTTCCCTTCGGACGGGCTAAGAGATAAATGGACATCTCTCAGTTCGTTCCTGGTTTCCTCTTTATACGCAATTTCCTTCCGATTTTGTCCGTTCTATGGAAAATACAACGCGCGGATAACGTGTATTCGTGTATAGTATTATTCTAATTAGAAAAAAAAATATATATATATATATATATGGATCGTATAAATGTTGGTTAAAATAAATTTGACCAGGTAATATTTGTATAAAAATTAAATAATATTTTATATATTTAAGAAATAATAAAAAGAAAAAGGGGAGAATGAAATTTTCGATTTAATTAATAATATATATCTGCCAATATTGTATTATAAATATTTTATTGTAAGTAAAAAACGTAACGCGTATAAATAATCGATTATCAATGAAACCAATTTTTCTTTTTCTTCCTTTACTATTTTCTTCTTCTTCTTCTTTTTCTATTCGATAGACACGATGAAAATATATCATACGAAACGTTGGAAACACCCTCGTAACATTCTCGAGACGAAAGGTTTACGAGAAAAGCTCGTTCGATATGGGGGGAGAAACATGTTACACATAGATAGGACGTCTTGTAACGGTGTTATCGGTCTCACTCGGAATAACGTTACGTTAGTTTCAAAGGCTTTTATCGAATAACGTTTAAATTTAGAATTTCTTAAGGCAACGTACGTAGGACGTTATATCTTTCTCTCTTTTCTCATTTTCATTCCCTGTATTTCATTTCTTTCTTTCTTTCTCTCTTTCTCTTTCTTGTATTCTTAGTTACTGCTGGTCATCCATATCTATGGATAGAAGATGAGCACACGCCTCGTAATATGACTCGTGTGTTCTTGGTGGATGAGATTAAAGCACAAGCAAGTAATGATATACGTTCGCGAGTTGCAACCAACACGCAACAAAGCTGTTACACGGTAGGTCTCGAGTATGCCACGGCTCGTTACGTTGTTCCTAAACAACTTCTTCATTCCTCTCTCGTAGTTCAACGCTGAAAAGCGTTCTTTAAAAAGAAAATTTTGCGAAAGGAAAATACTTCTGACCTTCGTGGAAAAGAAGAAGCTTCCCTTTTTTATTCTTCCCCCACCCCTCTGCCGACGTCAGAAACAACTGTTCCTGCTTTTTTTTTCTTCTTCTTCATTTTCTTTTTATTTTTGAAAAGATCATTCAGAATTACTCGACGAGACACACGCAAATGTGTTATTTGCTTTGCGAAATTATCAATCTCAGTAGTTTTTTTCTTTCCATAAATTTTATCGTGCTCCATCGTCGTATGTCAACGTGAAATTGATTATTAAATTATTAATATATATATATATAGAAAAGAGATAAAACACATTAGGTGATACAAATCATTTTGATTGAAAGATTGATAAATTCATTAAATTGGAAAAGAGTTCACTCACATCATTTCTATTTTGATTTTCATCAGACGTTTCACCGTGCCATACGTATATAACGATCACGTACGTTAACTTTAATTTTAATTTAACTCGCAAAGAATACTCGTATGATTCGTGAACGATTAATAAGATAATTCGAGGTAACCGATCTCCGAATGTTCGGGACATGACGAAATCCTCGAATTTAGAGAAAATTCGTGTCACTTATCTCGAACTAAGTGGTAGGGTAGCTATTATTATTATTATTATTATTATTATTATTATTATTATTATTCTTGGATCACGTTAGAAGTACCACACAATGAAGTAATATCTTTCAACACACACACACACACACATTATTACGTTTAACGTCATCGATAGGCCAGAATAATAAACCTTAGATTAATCCCTTTTGTTCAATCTGACAAGGTAAGAGACGATGAAGAATTGAATTAACTCCAAAAGGGGGAGAGAAAAAGAAAGAGAGAGAGAGAGAGAGAGATAATATAAAACGTCACGTACAAATCCGAACGAAAGAACGAACGAACGAACGAACGACCGAATAACCAACTTGTACGCGCTTTTTGGCGAAAATTTCGGAAGAATTTTGGCCCAGTGGCAACCGTTTCTCGATGTGGCTAACGGGTTGGCACGGTTCTGTCCCGCTTCATCTGCCTTTGCCAAGTTCACTCGCGTACGTTCGATAAATACATCAAGAAGACGTGGGATTGGATTGCACATTATCGCTTTCTTTCTCTTTCTTTCTCTCTTATTCACTTTTACTCACTCGTACGCTCACTCACTAGCCTATTCGGATATTTTTTACTGTAATCTATATACCTACTACGTGCCGAGTAACGATCGACGCTTGCGTTTTACGTGACGCGAGGGACGGGCGGGGGGGAAGGGGCACAAAAAAGTATAAATTGAGCTTATACAAATTATACCCTGGTTTGTACATAAATTCAATCTTGCGTAGTAGTTATATGTGTGCATATATGAGAGAGAGAGAAAGATAGAGAAATGTTAAGAAATAAAATAACGTAAAGGATTAGTTCAATCAACGGAAGGAATAATAAATAGTATAAGATTTTCACGAGCTTCTTTAACATATTATCGTACCGAATAAAGAAAGATAGATAGAGATAGAGAAAGAGAAAGAAAGAGAAAGAGAAAGATAGTGTAAGCCTCTTCTATATAATATATCTCTTCACTACATTATTCTCGGAAAGACGGACGACGACGATGTATAAAACGTTTCTCCTCTACGGACGATTGGAGTCGACTTGAAAATGTTCATCGTTTGGATCATTGCCGTTTCACTCGAAGAAAACAAAAAGTTTATATATAATGACTTCGGAAGACGATAACGATCCTATAAACGGCCACTTTATTTATGACGTATGCCAGGGATCGGTAATAAGCCCACGTGCTGACACAATCTTCACTCTGTCTCCGTGACATTGTAAATTGTACGAGAATTAAAATGAATAGAAAACACGAGGAGTGGAAGATAAACGAAGAGAGGGGATATGGGGTAGGGGGAGAGGGGGAGGGGAGTTAGGACGGGTTTAAGAGAGATAGATGGAACGGGGAAGTCTTCTCACAATTACGATTTCTCTACAACGAATCAATTCATCGACGGAACTGATTACCTAGGAACGATTATCGTCTTTACTGTGTTCTCGATATGTTAGGGGAAAGGGGCGGTGGGTGGGGTGGGATCGGAAGGAATATGAATGCAAGCTTATTTGTTTTAAGCGGCACGTGTAACGAAGAATATTTCCGCTTAAAGTTCATTATCAAACGGTAAGAAAAATGATAGATGGATAATAATCGTATCGATCTTTTTATATTCTTCTCTTCTTTTTCTTTTTTTTTTCTTTTTTTTTTTTCTTCACGAATCATACGATTACTCATAGCCACTCGCGATAGTTACGTATTATATATATCGACTTTAACAATCCTTTCGATGTTTATTTAGAAGAAAAAAATCATTTGGTTGCTTTTAACGATTGTATTTCGACAATGGTTCTTTGTCTTACGTTTATAAAAACGAGAAAGAGAATGAGAAAAAAAGTGAGAGATATAGAGAGAGAAAGAGAGCATATTTCACGAAATATATTACATACTCGAAAGTGGGCTCTCAACGAAAGCTTTATCGAAGATCTTTTATTTTTCCTTCTTTACCATCTCGTCTCGTGTGGCTTTGTTTCAACTTCGAGAAAAAAAAGGATTTGGTTTACGACTCTCTCTCTCTCTCTCTCTCTCTCTCTCTCTATTTCATGAGTACAATGTTCGCTTTTAAAAGAAACGTTCATCGAGGGAGCGTTGGCACATTTATATTCTCAAGTCAAAAAGGTTGATGTCTCAAATGTTTCATTTACGAAAGGATTCGCAGCATATTTAATTTTACGGGTTAGAACAATTTACGATTAATTTTATTCAAATGACAATATTATTCCAACGAATATGAACTCTTTAACGAACTAACGAAGAATAATTTTTCTATAGAGATATACGTCGATTTAATTCTTAGTAATAATTTAAACACACGATAAAGATAATAGAAGAAATGTGATTATGAAAGAGACGAAACGAATTGAATCAAGCATTTTTATCGATAATTTCGAACGATTCCTATCCTATCCTAATTATAAAAATAAGGTTGATACGTGATGATGGTATTTCGTAACGAAAAATAATCACAATTTTACTTAATTCTTAATCACTTCAATTACATATTTTAAGAGAGACACAAATAATGCAGATTTAGATTTGTAATATACTCGTGTATGTTTATACGCATTATAATATGTTAAATGTTACATAACAAAGATCGACATAAGACCGTACTCTTTTAGAATCTTATCATGGGATGATAAGCGTCAATAAAAATCAAACGGAAAAAGGAATGTCTGTAAGAAAGACGAATTCTCTTTTTTCTCTTTTTCTTTCTCTCTCTCTCTCTCTCTTTTCTTAATGTTTCCTGAATCGTTTTAAAACGAAACGGAAATTTGAATGACACTAACAGCATCCGTTTTCTTCAAAACGTTGCTTACGGATCACGAGATTAATCCTTTTACGAGTTTAACAAAGTTAATTAAATCGAAAAAATGTTGTAAAATGTTTTAAATGTAATATTTCATTTATTTCGATAGATCACACATTTTTATGTTAATAAAATTGATTATCAAATGAACGTGATGAATCATGCCAATTTTCGTAATTAGTATAAAACCTAAATGTCGGTAACAAGTCGGGATAATAATGTCTGATGTTTTATCGATAACAAAAAGAGTTGTATCAATCATCGCGTAAAATTAAAATATATATATATCATCGAAGTGTAGACGCGATTATAATGGTAAAATGTTAAATTATCTGTCCGTTATTTAAGACAGTTAGAAATCAGACGTTTTCCGTGATTTCCGTTTGACAAGCGACGGGTTTCTTCTCATCGTTCTAACACAATGTAAAACGATTTATCATTTCCACGTATTTTCGCATTATAATGATTTCATTCTTATTAGAAATTCATTCTTAAGATGTTCCTATATATATATATATGATCATCTGAACATATATACCCACGTGAACACGCTGTGACAGGCACACGTATAAAAAGATAAATTCGAAAGAATGTAAGTAAATTTGAAGAATAAGAATAAGAAGAAGAAGAATTCGTTGATAAAAGTTTGTTCAAGAACAACACAAACCTATGTGAATTGTGTCCAGTTGGAGGCGTGGCACTCCGCCTGTTATCCGTGACATCGTCTTGAAGGGATAGAGACTCGCTGTTCATCTTACAGGTTAGCCTCTTTAGAACGTCATCCATGGATCTTTTACTAGCCGGTACGGTAGTAGTTGCCGTGGTGGTGATACCGGTACCGTTGTTACTGTGATTGTTGTTTTGCGTAACTGTGTTGTTGTTATCGTTATGATGAGGTTGAAAATAAGAGTCAATGTTGAGAAGAGTAGGCGGAGAACCACACTCGGAGGAACTGGCAGCCTCTTGAAGGCCTGTTAAGGAAGATGCCGAGGAGGAAGTGGTATTCGCACGATGGTGATGATGATGGTGATGATGGTGATGGTGATGGTGATGATGGGGATGATGATAGGGGCCGGTTGATGATGATAGGGAACTCGCGTTTTCTTGATTCGAGAGGAATAGGATCCTCTGCCTTTTGGCACCGCGAATGGAATTTGAGGATGGTGAAGGCGAGTCTCGAAGATCCGGCTCGCTGGTAGTTGCCGGGGAGGAACAACCGGAGGATTCGCACTCTTGGCCTCCTGCTGCTCCTCCTCCTCCTCCTGTTCCTGCTCCACCTCCTCCTCCTCTTTGTTGAGAGTAACTCTCTTCGACGTCCAAAACACGACCCTCTTCGTTTGTCCCAGTTGATGGGACCGAGGCCTCCAATACAGCGTTCTCTTCTCCGTTACTGCCACCACCACCACCAGGAATAATGGTAGCAGTGGTGGCTGCACTACTATTACTACTATTGCTACTACAACCACCACCACCTCCTCCTCCACCTCCTCCACCTCCTCCAACGGCAGCAGCAGTCACCACCGAAGAGCTCGTGTCCTCCTCCTCCTCGTTGCCTCCGCTCGAAACTGTACCCGCACCGCCCCCGCCCTCCGATAGCTTCGTTGGTGGCGATTTCCTCTTAGAGGACATTCTCGGTCTGCAACACAAGGGAAAGTACTGCTCAGTTGTTGTTGTTGTTGTTGTTGTTGTTGTTGTTGGTAGTAGTAGTAGTAGAGTCGTTTTGTCGTTTCGTTCGTCACTTTTTTTTATTACGTTTTGTTTTTGTCTCTTTTTAATTGGTTTCGTATTTTTTTTTTTTTTGTTTTTTTAATTATATTTCTCTCCCACTCTTCCAAAGCTCCTTTTCCGTTTTGCATTTTTGTTGTTGTTTTTTTATTTTCGTTTTTTAATCGTGTGGTTTTTGTTTCCGATTTATTTATTTATTTATTTACTCGGTCTGCCTTTTTTTTTTTTATTATTTATTATTATTTTATTCTTTTCGATTCGAGAGTAAAAAGTCAAGTCGAGACAACATAGGTGGTAATACACATTTCGCGATTTGACATTACAGGGCGGGGGGAGGTGTTTTTTTTTTTTGATTCTTCTCTTTCTTTGCCTGTTCTTATTCCTATGTTTTTTTTTTTTTTTTTTTTTTTTTTTTTTTTTTTTTAATAACTTCGCCGAGAATTTCAACACTCTTTACTTTTTTTTTTTTTCGTGGAAATCTTCTCTCCTCTCCAGTCGTAATCGCTTGGCAAAAGGTGCTCTCTAGTACGATATCGAGAGAGGAGATCGGAAAGGCCATCGAACCCCATAGCCTTCCATGCTTCGAGAAACACGTCCGACGGAAATCTCCTTAGGGAGAGAAACAGAGAGAAAGAGAGAGAGAGAGAAATATGAGAATGAGAAAGAGTGAGAGAGAGAGAGAAATAGTGTCAGGGTGTGTGTGTGTGTGTGTGTTGCGCTTTTAGTTAACCAACTCGAAACTAGAAACATCTAGTCGTAATTGGAGAGAAAGAGAAAGAGAGAGAGAATGAGAGAAGGGTGAAGGGTAGTGGGGGTGAAGGGTAGTGGGGGTGAAAGAGAGAGAGAGAGCGAGAGAGGTTAGTCGCTTCTTACATTTGAATACTCTTCTTCGTCGTCGTGAGACAGACGTAGAAAGAGAGAGAAAGAGAGAGAGAGAGAGAGAGAGATGACATCTGGTTTAGCGGGTGTTAATTTAGATACGGACTTGCCCGTCTTCGTACGTTCATTTCCGTCGACAAATGACCAAATCTAAATCTAAATCGTGGTACTACGATCGAGAACGAATTAACTAACGTGTGTAATAGTTGAAAGGAACCCCGAAGACGTGTGTTCTGTTGCTAATGCACGATCTACACTCGGATTCGCATTATGTAATCGCGGTCGTGGTAAGAAAAGACGCAATAATGAAACGCGATTATCGTGTATAAATTATTGTATTGCGTGCGAGTGTCGTAATATTTTTTTTCTCTCTCTCTCTCTTTCTCTCTCTCTCTCTCTCTCTTTTATTCTTTCTCTTTTTCTGTCTCTTCGGCTCTGTCAATCATCTTTTTTCTCTTTTCGATCGGTGGGATATATGTGTTTGTGTATATAAGGTTTGTGTGTGTGTGTATGGGAGAGAAAGAGAGAACGAGTGATGAGCCAGAGTGAAACGCGAAGGGGGGCAAGAAGAAGAGTAGTCAGTTTCTTCGATTATCTTCTGTTGCCGGACTCGAGCGAGGAGGTTACGAGGTCAATAACGTTCGCGACTCGATTTCGTTGATCCACGACGTCGTCTAAAAAAATTGCAAAAATAAAGATTTTCATTGATTTGATTTATCCTTATTTTTTTATTTGTTTTTTTCATTCCTAAAAATCGTTCTCCTCGTTCGCCAAGATCACATTTGACGTTAAATATTTTTTTCTTCCAATATTTATCTCGATTTTTTTTCGATTAGTATTATATACTTATATATAGATCGATCAAAATATAATATAATTATTTGTCTAGTTAAATTCAAGATTATCGATTTTTTTCAAACAGACGTATATAATTAATGAATAATCATAATCTAAGACGAGAGAAAAGAAACCGATCTCAAAGATGTGTTAAATTATATGTTTAACTAATAAACGAGAATGAAGATTATCCAATATCTTATTATGATAGCTAAAAAATCGTAGTAGTAGTAGTAACAAGTAGTATATATATATATATATAATACATATGTGTATAAAAATAGTTAATTGTAAGTATGCATTATTTCAAACTAAAAACGCGGAAGTTGCATGAAGATGAGATCGGTTAGCTTCTTGGGAAAAAGAAAACGAACTTGAGATCATAGAAATGATGATTATGGTAGTGGTGGTGGTGTTGGTGGTGGTTAATGGTGGCAGGGTGAAGGGAGGAGTGGTGGGAGGCGGCTAAAAAGATAACCAAGCTTAGTAGGCGAGACATCTGTACTTTATTATCAATATTCGTACACATGTACACATATACAATGTACGTAAAAAAAAAAACATATATATATATATATACGTACGCAAGTGCATGATCATTCTATATTTTAATCATGCTTTAATTATTAGTTAAAACTAATAATAATGCTGACAATGAACGAAAGTATTAGTGACTTATGCGTGACCGAACCACGCTACGCAGCATTTCTACTATGCTGGATTGTGAATGGCTAAACGCTAGTTGCGAATTGGCGCGCAGCAAGCACGTGCTTCCTTGCTCGCGCGTGCATGAGAGAAAAACTTATTGCCTCGTTGATTCTCTTTCTCTCTTTTTCCAACTAACATAAGTAAGTAAAGGTCGAGATCGCAAGAACTTTTATTTCTTCTCTCTCTTTTTCTCTCCCTTTCTGTCTGTCTGTCTGTCTGTCTCTCTCTCTCTTTTTGCTTTGTTTTTTTACTCGTTAATTAAATATAATCCACGATGTGTGAAATTAAAGAGTTGGGAGAGGTAGGATAGAGGGAAAAAAGAACACAAGAGAATTAATAAGAATATTTATTTACCTGAGATAACTAATATTATCTATAACGTTCAAGTTCGATTTTTTTTATTGTTTTCTATCTATATTCTTTTTTATCTATACTTCGAGAGTTGATCTTTTCGCGAACATATAAATAATTTCTATAAATTGTGAAACAGAAAACAAAAATGTTTTATAGAGAATAATAAGAGAAATTTTGTAAAAATTATATGCATATTTAATTTTTTTTATAATATACGAATTTTATATTTTGTTATACTCGTATTGATTCTTCATCTCGTCTATGTATCGTCGATTATAAATTATACAGAGAATAGATATAATTATAAGAATATCGATTGAAAATGTAATTGTCGGAGGAGGAGGAGGTGGGGAGATAGTTTATAAATAAATAAGCATTATCGTGAATTTCGAATCGAAATTTTAGAATTAGTATTTTCATCATCGTCGTAAGTAAGTAAGTAAGTAAGTAAGTATAGATTTATGTATATCTCGTATTGTGTGCTCGATAACGGGTTGACATCGATAAACCAACAAGCATAAAGCAGACCGTTAGGAGAACGTTACGGAGATAAATTAACGACGACGAGCCACCCCCCTTCTTTTTGCTTCGCTAAGTACTCTCCTCCGGCTGCCATGCAATTTCCATTCATTCAGATACTGATTCATTAACCTCGCGAAACCAGCAATTACGCAAGCAATTTTTCCTGAAAATATTATGCGGAATACGCGGCGGTTTGGGTTAGTGCGCGCGCGTCTGCACACACACACACCTGCATCCCTCCTCTTCATTGTACGATGCTAGGTGGTGATTCTCGAAAGGAAAAAATTAAATTAAATTACGCCCCGGTGATGTGTGTGTGTGTGTGTGTGTGTGGAAATTTTTTCGTCGTACTGTTTACTACGCCGGTTCACCGGTTAAAACCATTTCGTCGTATGTTTTTAAACGTTAGGCACCACCATTATTATTTAAAAACGGCAGAGGGTAGATACAGGTACAGGTAGCTTATAAGTGGGTGCATCCTCGAGTACAAGTTTTTTGTATAAATTATGGAATTATTATTATCGATGGGCCTTCCCTATTCGAATACCTTTTCACCAATCTCCACATTTTCACGTTCTATTGCCAAACCCCCCTTTTTTGGATAAAAATTAAGCATCAGGGCTTTGCTTTGCTTCCCGGATAGAGGGGGGGGGGAAGGGGAAGGGGGACGTTTTGTTTTTCCTTCTCGTCGTCGTAATGTCGCTTTTTCTTTTGACGTAATTCGTTGTACGATTTTTGTATAATCGACGTTCAAGGTCGTTCCTTGAATCTTTTTTTTTTTTTATTATAAAACGATTATACTGTAATGAAAAAAAATAGAATATTGATATTACCGAAGTAAAAAAAAAAGAAAGAGAAAAAAGGCTAAATTGAAATAAATAATCGTTAATAGTTATTAATCGTATTAACCATTCATCAATTCATCAATTATTACGGATAACTGTATGTAAGTCATTATGAAGTTGTAATATTATTAATGTGTAATACATTTAAGTGCTTTTGATAGGATTATCTCGTTCGAGCAGAGCACATTAGTGTCTTATCGGGAAAGGTCGAACATCTCAGTTACATAGTATCATTGAAAGCAATGTTACGGCTATATTTAAAACCATGCTCCTTTTTTTTCTCACTCTCTCTCTCCCCCTCTCTCTCTCTCTCTCTTCCTATTATCTTTACTTATAAAAAAAAGATGGATAAAAAATTATTGTGAAAAAAATAAATGATATTATCGGACAAAATTGTATATTTATTTAGTAATATTTTGCGACTGTAACACGATTATGTATTATTTCCTTAATATCTTTCGAACGATTGTAAAAAAAAAAATATATATATATATATATAGGTATATGTGTAACATCATAATTTACGATTTATTTGTATGAAAAGGAGTAAAAGATATTTTTGTTTGCGAACTTCGCATTTTATCGATATCTCTCACGACATTTTTGGCGATAACCATGATAATTTGCACGCGACGATGAAACGAACGAATGAACGAACGAATATATATTATACTGTAACCTTGTTATATTGATTTGTTTTCTTAGATCCGTTTATTAAACCGCGTTAACGAAATATCTGTAACGAAAGTGAAAACTTATCGCACGA